TCATGATCTTTAAAATTAAATCGAATAAAAGTAATTTAGTTTTCTGGTATCAGAAGTTACATTTGATGAATTGCCATGCAACCAATTATAAACACTTTTCATAACAGGGCTATTCACCGAACAATGTCAATGTCATTAGATATATATGAACTAATCTTTCTTGATATAACGTGACGTCAGAAAGTGATAATGAAACAACGTCACAGTAGACACTAACATTATCTAAAGAAAATTACAAATACAACTATAGATATATGCAACGAAAAATGACTTAAAATGACACAAATAATCAGGTTCTCCTTAATATCAACAAAGGTGATTCATGCGGTAATTTTTTTTTTACTTCATTGAACTTGTGTTATATATTGTTGTTGGTAACACGTGGTCAGACGATGCTCATTTGTCGTGAAAGATTCTTTAGTATTAAGGATATCACGTTTTGACCGAAAGTAGGACATAGTTTAACATAAAATAATTCCAACGTAATGTTTTAAATTCATGCTCTTTTATATATATCATTTTAATGTGTAGTTTTATCTACAAAAGAGCAAAAGAGGAACACTTAATGACATTTTGCAGATTGTTTTAGATGTACACATCATTTTGTGACAGTGTAGCTGACGTCATGGTTCGGTTTTCCATTGTAAAAACAACTATCATTTTTATAACGCTATCAAGTACTTGTGTATGACGCAGGACGTATTACAGATCACAGATTATAGATACGATTTGCGATTAAGCGCAGCGAACATGCTTTTTAAATCGTCAGAAAATTCAAATAAAGAAAAAGAGAAAGATCCGTTTCTTTAGTTAGTTTATCATTTTCTATCCAAGCACAAAGTCCGTTAAAAAAGCTATAATGTCAGAACACTGTCATGTATGGGGTTTAAAGTAAATTAATATAATTTACATTTTTTCGTTGCCATGGAGTTCTGAGAGCGTAAACATTGACATTTCAGATTACCCTTTTTCTAACTAACACAGTTTAACGCATTTGGAATAAAATGAAAGAGATTTGCTAGAAAAAACAAGCCTGAAAAATCACACAGAAGGATTGTTTTCAACGTAAAAATAAGAAATGAATATGTCCTATCACAAATATTCTGACTCCTGCAGCTGTAAAAGAAGTGTAGATACATTGCATTTCGTTTTTAGGATACTTTATTTCTTCTAAACATTCAAAATATTATTATCAGAAAAAATGTTAAATATTTTTGAAATTTGCGTCATACGTATTATATAATTCGGACAAAAGGTATAAAGAATACCATAAAGTGCAGGGAAACCTTCTGAAATGAATACACAAAATGCGAAAGATGTTGAATCTTAGGAGAAAGAAAAGCTTTAAGAAGATATATATGTTACTTTTTGTTTGCGTCTATTTCGAGAGCAAATGAAATGCTCTATTTAGTTTGGAAATAAGTGTGTATGAATGACAGTTTTACACACGGCAAGAGACTTAGAATGTCTATATAAGAAGTCTATGGACATTGTAGAGTCAAGTATGCCTCAAACATTACTGTACAAAACCGGATCTAATTCACTAGAGTATATCACCCTGGGATAAACCAGGGTTAATTATAGGTTTCACTGTTGTAAATCTTACAGATTCCACCGGGAGTCGTCAACTCCACTGAATCTATTGGCGTCGAAGCCCGTATGTGGGTGTGTCAAAGCAATACTTTACCAAGAGCCCAGAACATTCTGTTGTTTTGATTTCTCTTACTTGAGTTTTATCTGCATCAGATACATTAAACAATAAAAGGAAGGGAACTGTGTACAATGTTTTCGAATTTGTGAGTTTTTTTAAAAGTCAGATTTGAAAACATTGGATTTAGATATAACTAGATTGTGTAAGTTCACCAAAGTGTATTTTTTCACTATAGAGATACCGCATACTTGGACGTCCATATCACATTCAATTGGCATTAAATTTTAATTATAAGACCGTTGATATCATAAACAGTTACACACGACAAACAGTTTGAAGAATAACAAAGTGTATGTTACAGTATTTACAATATCAAAATTTCATTGTCCACATAATATCATGTGCAGTGCCATGTTATCAATAGGCTTGCCTCTGACATCAGTCTGATGTTAAAAAAAAAAAAAAGAAAGAAAGTTGAAGGCAATATATTGCTGATTGTATTGTGTTATAAGACTATGAATGCAATTTTGCTGTATGTCAATGTGTTAATTTGGAAAATTTTAGTTAATTAAAAGAATGGCACAGCATGTAAAATATGCTTTGTTAATCTTCTTAATCTACAGCTTTAAATCATTATTTTGGTACAACGCTTAATCTTATGTAAAAGAATAATAAAAAGTAATAACATCGACCAACAGCATTGAGCAATGATCACACATTGCATATAAAATAACATTAGGGTACCTGCATGGCCACTCTAAACGATTCTTAGCATAACCTAATATATATTTCGTTTGGCAATTACTTGAGATAATAATTAAAGTCCTAATATAGGAGCTGATTAGGAAGATCTTCAACAAACAATTTACCGGAATGACCAGTTTATGAACAATATGCTGATGACAGAGCGTATACTTAAATTGATAAACAATTTCCTATTCTCCTGCTTTTTAATTGACTGTGAGACAATTAATCATTGTTCATTGATAATTTTTATTTTAGAATCCTTAAAAACTTGACATTAATCAAACACTGACAAAGGAAATAGTTGTACAGATTGGTCACTTAATATGCCTTAATTTGAATTAAAACTGTAATGGTACTTCAGTAAAAGTTACATGCCATTTTATTACTTTCATTTATTGTCTTACGTGCCTAACTATTGACCACACTTTGGCGCATTGAATACCGTATGTATCCATTTCTTATTGATTCTTGGACTGAAATACATGTATTACCCATAAGGAAAGTTGATGTATATGGCTTTCATTCTACCAAATGCACTGCAGTTCTATATAAGAATGCAGTGCGGGTAATCCGTAATCCAATATATACGTTATACCATACGTTGCCATATATATTTACTAATAAGCATATACACCAAAAGATGTCCGTGTGTCTCTCAGGACCAAGCTTTCAGAGATTTGTTAGCTTAACATCACAAAAAAACAAACAGCATACGTCGTATAACTAGATATTTGGGTTTTATAATGTCACTTTTAATAGGAAAAAATCTTTAAAATCTGTTTTTGAAGCATTCTTTGAAATTTCAGCGTTTCTTTCATATGTTTTTGATTATGTATTCAACTTGATTAAAAATACGCCAAATTCGGTCTAAATTGAGTTATTGCTAGAATTACTTATAGAAGAGCCGTAAAAGACAGTTAGGTAATGTACATCTTAACAAAACTGTCTGTCTGGTTAAGTGTTTTCGTGATAAAGAATTGATTATAAAAATGTGTAGACAAAGAACGCCATACATATATATTCATCTCTAGCCTGATAAAACAGACATGCCGGAGAAATGGTCGTGGCATGTTCCTTTGACACGACAGACAGCCACGTTACGGCAGACAAGGTGAACACAATCATTACAGATTAAAAGCATAAGTGTCAATACAAAGTTAGGTTTGACCAGTAAATGTCTTTTTATAACCGCTAGGGATTTACGTTTTATTTATGAGAACCTGTTGAAAGGTTATGAACAATACAATTCGAGACATTTACCATCCACAGACACTGTAGTGATGAATTATCGCGTAATAATGCACGTTACAGTTATTTTGAGAGGTCTAGTCCAACATTATAGAGAAATACTTTATTTTATAGCAGCAATGTAGAAAGCCGCGAAGAACGAACAGAACTAGAAAATATCTATAAGACACGGATGCCCTATGCAAACGAGGGTTTGATCACGTGTAGAACTTGATGTTACGACACGATAGAATACATGTCAACCAAATAAGAAGAGAGGTTCTGGAGGAATGATATTGAATTCGGAACAGGGCGTAGAGGACAAGACGACCGGACATGGTCAATTTGCAAACCCCCTCCTTCCATAACATGGCAGTGGCAACAAATATGGGATATGCTGTTTATTGCAATCCGTAGTTATTTATTACAAAATAAACGATAGATGTGAAAAGTGAATATAAAAAATTGTGTGAGATTTAATCTAGTCTGAACGTGTATGGCGAACCAGTCAATGGATGATGTGATCGCTGAAATGATTCTTTTGTGCATATACGAGTATAAATGAAGAATTTTTATTTGTTGTTTTTAAGGACATAATAGAATGCAATCCACCTGGTCACATTATAGTTACAATACGCTTACCTTATTGCGTTTTCATTTCAAGCTCAGAGAATAGTACAAAGTTCACATACTATAGATGGTTTGGTTAAAGTGACAGAACCCATGGCTTTCCTTACTTGGCAGGTGCCCCAAGTACAAACAAAAAGTGATTTTTTTCCAAGTGAGGCGTTAGTAAAGAAAAACAAAGCTAGGATAGAAAGATGACACAAAGATCTAAATCGCCTATTATGAGCATCCAATTATAATGCAGCAGATGTTTTATTTACGCCCTGTCTGCATGACAGCTGAGTTCAGTACCAATATGTTTAAAATCAGTAGTCTTTTTTATAATTAATTTAATTATGTGTGGGAATGGATAAACTATCGCGTTAAATGTCTGTGTAATACGTTTACATCGCAGTTCGCGGTGTTTGTGAAATTCTAATTTCTTTATGTACTCGTAATTACTGGTAGTTGTTTCAGGTTGCCTTTTAATCAGTACTAATGACCGTTGAAAGCAAATTTAAGTATCAATTGTCTTTTGACAATAACACCAATTTTGGAGATGTAATATGGTTCAGTTCACGCTAAAGGATGACCTAAAACCATTTACCGTAAAATGATTACAAAGAACGATACTAAAAATAGGACGATAACTTACATTGTACCGACTATATTATGTCTTACATTTCACTACACCATACGATAAATATTGATCCTTACCTGTACGAATGTTAACTAAAAATTACATAATTTGATATTTGTATGTTTACAGGTAACTATGGGGCACGTGGAATTATGGAATTTAAGAACCTTGCCAGAAATAGCAGCGTATGTATTGCCAATTCTGAAAGCGCTCCCTCTCGACAAGATCCGCATTTGTTTGACGGAATCATTCGACGAATGATTTCTTACCCGAATGCCAGAGTTATTGTCTGCTTCTGTGAGGGAGCCACTGTTACTTCATTGTATAATGCTACCAGGAGAGTGAAGAACGCTCAAGGACATTTCCTAATCCTAGGAAGGTAAAAAACCATACATCAACTTTCTTTATAGACTTATTTTTTACATTTGTCGATCGTTCTAAAATCACCACATTCGAAACGAACTTTAATATCAATGTCAGTATATAGGCGTCTGCCTCGAGAATAAGAGCACGGTTATGATATATAACAAGTTTCTATATTGTATCTGATATAAACGTTCTATGTAATTATGAATACGAATGGCTGTGGTCAAGATACGTTATCAATCGACCTCATCTTAAAAAAACGTTTCTACTGCACGTTTTAAGAGAGAGCACAGTTGTCTGAGCACACCATCATACATCTTGGCATCGGTTTGGCATCAGGTGATCTAATATCACTACAGACAGCGAAAATGTTATAGAAATATCAAATCATTAATTTTAAAATGTGAACATTCGTGTTGATAAAAGCCACAGTTTACTGTAGGTATAGATGTACTTACTTGAAAGCACTTTAGATTTTGAAACCTGATTAATAAATGTATAGATACTCGATAGAATGACCAGAGAAATGTACTTTTATCATTTCAATTATATCATCGTAATTCGCATTCTGAAAAAATAATATATCATTCAATTTGCTGTTTTATAGGACTAAAAATAGCACCAATGTATTTTCTATGATCCCTGGAATTATGTGCAGATCTTTCATTTCATCTGCACTTTAAGTCAATGAAATATTCCAATGTTATTCCATTACCCCGTTATTAGACTACATTAACCTTTGCGTCTGTCGGTAGTGACGGATGGGCGGACAGACCTGATGTGGTGGAATCCATAGAAGAAGCTGCGGCAGGAGGCATGTCCATCAAGCTATATTCACCAATCATCCCAACGTTCGATAAGAAATTCAAAGCTTTGAATCCGTACTTAAATGAGAGAAATCCATGGTTCAAAGAATTCTGGCAGGAGAAGTTCGGTTGTACTATTCCAGGAGATGAAGATGCTAACTCGGAGTTCATCAATAAAACTTGTACAGGTAGGCTTTTTCTCTTGTCTCATAACGCCGAATCATATTGGTAAGCTATATGCAGTTTGTGTAACATGTTCAAATATCACAACATACAAACGGAGAATTAAGATCGTGGCTCAAAATGTAATAATTTGCTATCATAAAGAAAATATTAATCCTGTGATAAAATGATTGCTATTTGTGTGAATCAAACACAAGAAGAGTTATAAGGAATACAGTACGTGCTAGGATCAAAGTGATACTGTAAACATATAGACATTATATTTACGAGCATATCATAAAATTGGACTTGTCTACACTCTATCAGACAGGCATCAACTTCCTATAAACAATATCGTCATTACATACAGAATGATATAAACAATAGAGACTTCATGATGGAAACTTTTCATGGACAATATGAGATGACATCCGTTTTCATATGTTCCACTGAGCTATTGTCACCAACAAAACAAGAAATATAGCATGGACCTTTCATTCGTCGATGACTGCCTCCGTTTGATTTTGTTCTCTATATTGTTCCTTTTAAAATCACAATGTAACTTTTCTGGATTATGTGATATAAGACATCTTATTTTTTCAGTTTTCGTTAACTTTTATAAAACTCATCTCAAAGTTTTACGTGTTTCTTAATTTTTTTTCATTATGTGCTCGTCAAAGCTTGCAAAATACCTCCAAGATTCGTTTCACCATTTTTTTCAAACAAAGCTATTTAAGGGAAATCATTTACAAAACCGATAGCGAACAAATCCCATATTATTAACATCAATAATTCATGGCGAAAAAATTGCGACCAACTACAAAACACTTCGTGATCTAGTCCCTTATTGTCACCAACAATAAAACACTTGGTGATCATGTCCCTTATTGTCACGTACGATAAGTGGCATGGTAAACAAGGTCCTTCTCCTCACCAAAAAAATCATATGTTGCTGAACTGGTACGAAATCTTCACCAACTATAAATCATGGTGAACAAATTACTTAAAGTCGCCGACAATAAAACACATGGTGAACAAGTCTTTGAAAGTCACTGACAATAAAACACATGGTGAAGAAATACTTTATCGGCCCCCGAAAATGAAATATTCTATCATCAGATGTATAACAACTGTTGACACAAATTAAAATCAGACACTTTAGCACAGGTGTATATAAAGCATGTGAGACTTCAGCTGTCCATTTTCTACTGTGCAGGGAAAGAGATACATCGGGACTTTGTACAGGATTCAAAGCTTGGCTTTGTGGTGAATGCCATGTATACGATGGCTACAGCCCTTCACAACATGCATCAGGACATATGTGGAGATTATCCCGGCCTTTGTCCGGAAATGATTCCTTTGGAGGGTCGACTGTATAAGGAATACCTGCTCAATGTATCCTTGATAACATACAGTAATGACGACCTCCATTTCGACAAAAATGGAGACCCGCCGGCAAGGTAGGTCCTTACTTAATCAGAATACAGATTTCTGGTGTGTCAGTAGAAATCCATTTTAATCATTATCTGTCAAATAACGTTATCATTACCGTTATGTAAGCTTTTGTGGTCTTGGTTATAACGATTGTATTTTTACAGCTATAAAACTAAAAATTAAAACTTTTGCGATTTGCAAGATTATGAAAATTATGGTAAATTCATTAGGTGATATTATGATCTAGCTAGAAAATTATTTTATTTCCTGTCATGATACATATATCGGGGTCTTGAAGCGTATTGATAAGCGAGTTCGCCGTTATTACCTCGTTTTTCATTTTATCAACGTGACATTACTAGTATTTCATCAAAACTCCCATAATTGGTTTTGTCGATAAATCAGAAAATGTTTACTTTTCTAGGTCATCGGATCTTATTCTCCCTGCAGGTTTTCAATGGTTTTGATTTGTGCGTCCATCGATACATCTGTATTGTACCTCATTCCATCAATTCATTTGCTTTGAATTGCATCTTTTCATTCATATTTCCCTTTTTCTTTGTAGATACGACATAATGAATTTCCAGAAGTTTGGAGAAGGTGCAAACGTGACATACGGTTATGTCAAAGTTGGTGAATGGAATACTGGACATCTGGACATGAACGACTCAAAAATCTACTGGCTGAATCGACAGAGCGGCGAAGCTCATACGATATCAGTGTGCAGTCAACCATGTCCGATGGGTTATGTAAAGGTATGCTTTTTACAAAATAAAGAATAATTGTTATTAGTTTACTGGTACAACAGTAGAGCGAATACGGAGAAGAAGCATTTAGCATAGGTAATATAAACACGGTATTTAGAATTAGGCATATTGTGCAACCCAAAAGCTGATTATGAATGATGCTTGCAAACTGTAATTTAATTTTTTTTCTGAATGATGTGAAAAATACCACAAGCATACAAAGGGAAAACTGTGTATGTAGCAACGATAGGAAACGGCGAAGTTAAATGAAAATTATCTTTTTATATGCAAAGCAATATCCTTATTATACTAAATAACAACAGCATCATTACCCGCTTTCCTTCAGAACATAGAGGGAAATACCCGCTGTTGTTGGACGTGCATCCCGTGCGAGGAAAATGAGTTTATGATGGACGAGGAGACATGCAAGCAATGCAGCATTGGATGGTGGCCTAATGAGGACTTAACAGGTAACAACTCGGACTCACGTTGATACGTTTGTATTGACTAAAACTAAAACAGATTGGAACAAGGTTTCCGTATCTATATTTATTTAGGACGGATGCATTAAATGATTAATATTTCTTAGTCACCTCTGTAAATGACCTCATTTATTAATATAAACCTATTTTGTTGCTATCCAGAATTTCACATATGATACATGTACCAGAAACATTTCGTCCCTGAAAATATCAAGTGAATTCGTTATAAATGTTTTAGCAATATTGACACTCCACCTCTGAGCATAATAATAAAAGCACTGACTGGATGTTATAGTCCCATAAAAACGGAATGCTTGCTATGATTATGATGCCTTTAACGATAACATTTACAGTGTTGTCAACCACATTTATGTCAACACCTGCTTTCTAACTGTTCCGAATGTCACTTGCCGTGATATGTTTCGTTCCTCTTCTCCAGCGTGTTCAGTTACAACACACTGATGGACTGTTAACAGTGGGACGTATTCCTAATGAAAGCAAATGACCCCCGGTGTGCTAAATCGCTCTAAGGCAATGACAATACATCTTATATTTCTAGCTCGTCCTTTGAGAATACTAGGAATTGATTAAAAGATACTTAATATCGATAATTCAATTTTCGTCAGCACATTTCATACCTATAATTCAATTTTCAGCTACACATTTTCTAGCAAACCATAAACAGGGGAGCTATGTGAAGTAATTTTAGCTATAGGCAGAAATTCTATAATATAGCCACTGGGAGTTCCAAGATTTGACACACACTGGGTGGCAGTCACAACACCTAACTGTGAGGATTTCAATTCAATAACCCGCCAATCTAGAGACAAACAGGTTGTCTAGGCTGAGCCAGATGTTCATTGTCTGCAGGCTGGTATTCAGTTTTATTAGAATAGAGAGACAAATAAAGACACATTTACCATATTTGAAATTGATTAATCACGTATATAGATAGTTGTTTCCTCCGATATCGGACTTAATCCTTTTTAGCCTTAAAATAACATCTTTTAAATGCGATGCATACCCATCCTTCTATAAAATGCGACTATTATTGGACTGGTAATAATATATTCTTATTGCTAATTGGTCACTACAAAGTTTTACTTGGTCGCCGCGAATGTTGTTATCAATTATTACATTTTTTCGTTGATAAACAAAATAAAGAAATTACCAACATGGCAACATAATCATAATCAAAACTCAAATTCCATAAAACTGGGGCAAAATATGATAAAAAGAAAGATTTACACGGAGGCTCCTGAAAAAGTGCAAGGAGAGTAAGACCAGGTGTTCCGGAAGAGTAAGCGTCTTCTGGTTCATCGATGACACCCGCCATGCTAACCTTGGTCAATCCAAGTAGGAGATGTCAAGTTCTTAAGTGAGAACAAGGCATAAAACAACGGAACCGACAGCCAAACTAATTAGCATCAAACAAATTCATGGTTTAAAAAAATGGAGTTTGAATACAGCGGTCATAATAGGAAACCAATAACTTCAATGTCATCTGTTGAATTGAGAAACTAATATTATCTGGGTAATGTTGAATTAGATATGTGTTTAGTGAAACTTTTTCTGGATTGACTAAGATTTACATGTCGGGTGTCGTCAATGAGGCATAAAACACCTTCCCGTCCAGAATACCTAGTTTTATTCCTCTTCAGGAGTATTCCGTGTAATTTTTTTTTAATTGTCCACAATTTATTGAATTTGAGTTTGGATTATGATAACGGATAAAATTTAAATAACTGGACAGTTTTAAAGATTTTAATATGAAGTATCAGCGTATCATATTACTGGAAATCTCTGGTTGTGCTAAAGTAAACGTATACGGTAAGAGATTACATACGACAATTATTTTACAAAGTTTATGATAATGATTCTCTTGAACACCTTGGCACAAACATTTAGTGGAAAGCTAAAGGAGGACAGTGTTTGTGCTGAGACTGTTATGAACTGAAGTTGATTGATAAACACTTCCTACTCACTAAACTGTCACTGTACCTTCGAGTTATTTTGGTTTCCTATTGATCTTGTTGCTTTCTCTGTTACATTTCTTTAAACTTTTACAATATTTGAAAAATTCACATCCTGTGCTTAATCCACGGTGTAATTTCATCTTGAAAGACGAAGCTATTGACGGATGTGTTACCATTGAAATACTATTGTCAAGATGTTTCTCATAGAAGGTTGTATAAAAGACACACAAGTTAAAAGCACCATCCAAAATTAAAATAATTAACAGCAGCACCAGACAGTTGTTTCATTCTTCTAGGACTCGTCAGTGATGCTGAGAGAATGAAGTTTGAAATGTAGGAGGCAACTGAGGGAAATCCTCATTGGTCGAAATAAACATATAAAACATATCCAAATGAATTAAAATGTTGCATGCAGAATACGGCAAACCTCGGAGACTTAAAAGTCCACCGGCAGTATCAACCATCTGAAATATAACAATTGAAATATAACATGATACCAAGAAGAAAATACCAACACGTGAACAAACTCATGAACACAAAAATAAAAATAAAAAAATAAAAAAAAATAAAAATGAATTAGTTCCGTACATACTCACTATATCATAATAATACTTGTTACAATTTAGTTGTCCATACCTGTGACATTGTTGTTGTCCATACCTGTGACATTGTTGTTGTCCATACCTGTGACATTGTAGTTGTCAATACCTGTGACATTGTAGTTGTCCATACCTGTGACATTGTAGTTGTCCATACCTGTGACATTGTAGTTGTCATTACCTGAGAAATTGTAGTTGTCAATACCTCTGATAATGTATTTGTCATTACCTGTGACATTGTAGTTGTCAATACCTGTGACATTGTAGTTGTCAATACCTGTGACATTGTAGTTGTCAATACCTGTGACATTGAAGTTGTCAATACCTGTGACATTGTAGTTGTCAATACCTTTGACAACGTATTTGTCAATACCTCTGACAATGTATTTGTCATTACCTGTGACATTGTAGTTGTCAATACCTGTGACATTTGTAGTTGTCAATACCTGTGACATTGAAGTTGTCAATACCTGTGACATTGAAGTTGTCAATACCTGTGACATTGTAGTTGTCAATACCTTTGACAACGTATTTGTCAATACCTCTGACAATGTATTTGTCAATACTTCTGATAATGTATTTGTCAATACTTCTGATAATGTATTTGTCAATACTTCTGATAATGTATTTGTCAATACCTCTGATAATGTATTTGTCAATACCTTTGACAACGTATTTGTCAATACCTCTGACAATGTATTTGTCAATACTTCTGATAATGTATTTGTCAATACCTTTGACAACGTATTTGTCAATACCTCTGACAATGTATTTGTCAATACTTCTGATAATGTATTTGTCAATACTTCTGATAATGTATTTGTCAATATTTCTGATAATGTATTTGTCAATACTTCTGATAATGTATTTGTCATTACCTGTGACATTGTAGTTGTCAATACCTGTGACATTTGTAGTTGTCAATACCTGTGACATTGAAGTTGTCAATACCTGTGACATTGAAGTTGTCAATACCTGTGACATTGTAGTTGTCAATACCTTTGACAACGTATTTGTCAATACCTCTGACAATGTATTTGTCAATACTTCTGATAATGTATTTGTCAATACTTCTGATAATGTATTTGTCAATACTTCTGATAATGTATTTGTCAATACTTGTGACAATTTATTTGATGGCATAATCTTTAACTCTATGAGTGTAAAGGGTAAATGTCGGGATTAATTATTTTATCATGTTACGGTTTCTTCAGCAATACTTTGTGTATAAGCCATAATTATCAGCAATGAATGCAACCGTATCATTGCAACTATTTTTTTGATAATAATGTTTTAAAACAGAAAATATAACGTTGAGAATGACACCGCGTCATGTTTATGTGGAGCGAGACGGTCTTGCTTCCAATGTCGTGTGTTTTCCAGAAAAACAAGTGTCGTCAAAGCAGACATGTATTAATGTCTTCGCATACTTAGTAAAACCCAAGCTTCATCACTATGATATGATATAGTCGATAGTTCGTGTGTAGTGTTATTTCACAAATAAATAATAACAACCAGTTTATTTTATTAAATTGTACATCAATTTCTTGTTTTTTTCAGCTTGTAAAATGATAGAGACTGAATACCTAAGCTGGTTTGATACCGAGGCCGTCGTAGCTATCTCCTTGGCATGTTTTGGAATCTTTGTAACTCTTTGGATCACAGTGATATTCATCCGCCACCATAACACGCCTGTCGTGAAAGCATCCACCAGAGAACTTAGTTACATCATCATGTTCGGGATCATTACAGCCTACTGTTGCAACTTCGTTCTGGTATCAAAGCCGACCATCGTATCCTGTTATTTCACCAGAATCTTGCCCGGGTTGTCCTTTTCGTTGATATATGGAGCATTGGTGACTAAGACAAATAGAATTGCTCGCATTTTGGAAGGTACGAAGAAAATCATCACTAAGAAACCGAGGTTCATGAGTGCGTCCGCACAAGTCATTATCACCTGTATTATTGTTGGCATAGAATGTGCCATCATAACGGTAATGCTGATTATAGAGCCGGCTGACTCCACGCTCGACTACCCGACAAACAAACGGGTACGCTTAGTGTGCAACACGACGCCTCTTGGGATCGTGGTGCCGTTTGGGTTTGATCTTGTGCTGATTCTAATGTGTACCTTATATGCTGTCAAGACCCGGAATCTACCAGAGAACTTTAATGAAGCTAAGTTCATAGGTTTTACCATGTATACAACCTGTGTTATATGGCTGGGATTTTTTGCCATTTATTTCGGCAGTGAGTCTCGGGTGCTGACAATGTCGGTTTCGATCAGCCTGAGTGCTTCCGTCTCCCTAGTGTTGTTGTTCTTTCCGAAAATTTACGTAATCGTGTGGGCTCCTGAGAAGAATACGCGAAGCGCCTTTACAACATCCAAGGATGTCCGGTGTCATATTGGTTCCATTTCCTTTCACTCCGGTGAGAGTGTTGACATGATGAGGTAAGTCTTATGATGGTAACCTTTACCGGGGTTCAAACATATCTGTGGTAGGTGCAGAAATATTTGTTGGAAACGTCTATCAACCTCTTTCACTATTCAATCCAACAACTTCTTACATTCTAAAAGTTCCCCTGAATTACTATCTTTCACAGTTTCTGTGTTGTCTATCAATCTGCTAATCAACATCTTTCATCTTTTCTTAAAGTGGTTTTCCTATTACCTCAACATAAGTTACAAAAACAAACTCAAAGTATAAGAATCGTTGATTTGCTATTTCTATCAATTGATCAGTGTAAGACGTTTAATTTGGTTACTTACAAATTTACCATCACCTCCATAAGTATAGGTATTCCCAAGTTAAAACAAAAGACATTAAAACTAATCTACCAAGTAGGATTATAGTACAAATCTGTATTTATTTTTCTAGAGGGACGGGGGAAGAGGAAGTGGGGAATATGAAAAGCGCCACCTAGTTTCGGCAAAACTCCATTGTACGTAGTTATTCGTTCTGTAGTTTTTGATTGGCTGGGGCATTGTTGGTACTGTATATATGAGTGTTATGGCTGTGCATGCTTTCTGCACTTATCATATTTTTAACCTTAGTTGTCATTGCTGAATTATTGCCTGTACATTGTATTTAGATTTGGATTTCTGAGCATGCTATTTATCTCGCTTAACGGAAACGGAGAGTTTGTCACTTACCTGTGTTCACGTCTTTTAAAAACAAAACGCGGCAAAAATATAACACGTTAACCACACGATACTTCGAAATATCATGTTTGAGAATTATAATATTGATAAAAACCAATCTTTACTGGATTTTCACACCAAGTTCAGTTCTTGAACATAGCCTGAAAAAGCTTTAATGAATTCTTCGGCAAGTAGTGTCAAGTAGTGGCTGTTACAGGACGGCAGTGACGTCAATGGGGAATAGCACGTGCTGTTCTTGTGATGGGAGCCATACATCGTAACGATCTGGGGACGGCTCAGGGATCAGCCTCTCCATCACTCACGGACTTATGTAGACTCCGGTAATATCTACTGTTAATCATAACGCCAAAGAAAGAGATGTATGGTGGCTCCCTAGAGACTTTGTGCTATTTCTGGGAAAGTATTTGGGGACATGTTTCCGAAACTCTTCTCAAAGGAACAATCAAACAGAAATGGAAAAGTTCTCTTACTATGATTCTTCAGAATTGTTTGGAATATTATAGGAATTTCCGTGATAGATTTCACAAAAACTTTTTTTTTGGAACATTTTGAAATCAATTATATAATATCAGTCTATGAAAACGTATGATCATTTATCTTAAAAAAAACCTGCAAAGATACGGCAACATCGAAGTAAAGTATAGATATCGGATGAATAAAAAGGGATACAAGTGTACGTTAAAGTAAATTAATACAGAAATGTATTCTAAAGTTTAAAAAAATTCAGGATCGGAATGAGTCATTTGATCGAATTTCTTACATTGACAATGAGATGATGTGCTGGTGAGATCGATCGAATGCACTCGATTTACACCAACCAAGTACACCCCGGCGACAAATCAATAACGAACTGTCAGAGTTTACCAACCAAACTTACCCTTAAATGTAAACAACGATTAACGTCGATTTACTACGCCTCTCTCTGTGGCCTTTGATATCGATTTTTAATTTACGTAGTGATAGTATCCTTAACTAGCCAATTAACGACTTGTTAGTCAGGAAACTTCACCTAACCTAACAGATTGACGCCTTTGGATTGGTAATAATTTGGAGATATATCTGAGAGTATTTTCTCGTCGAGTTGAGGCCTAATGGATTTCACTCGGAAACCGAATTAGTTGTGGTGAACGTAAAGCCATTCGCCATAATCTGTGAATGCTAGGACCTTTCTTCAATATAGGGCAAACTAAATCAACATCCTCATTATTCACTGGGCGCTTTTCTTTGGGGATTTAGTTGACTCTCCGGGCACCATGGATAGCAGACGAAAGCCCATCACTTAACCGTCAATGAGAACTTTCATTCAGTTCAGAAAACATAAATAACTGGATTTTAAATCAATTTTGCAACCTTCACCATAAAATGAAAACCTGTATACCTCATGATTTATTGGTCTCGTGTTATCAAATCACGTGCTTTCTTAATACAGTTGTAAAGGCGATCATTTTTCAAAAGAAATGAAGTTAAGAGTAAGACACCTTCCTTATTTTCTGTAAGACGGATTATCGTGTATAATGACAAATGCCATTAGGGACAGACGGGTCGCCGGATATAAATCATCATACATGTACCTAGTAACCATGACAGTAGTGAAGACAGGGTATCCTTAATCCTGTAGTTACAGTAATGCTTGTTCATGTAACCCGGATGTCACAATGTTAATACCTCTTAGTATAATGTTAAACTGGTGAATATCAAGTATTGTCAGAATGGTGTGACATTTTTGGTAACCATTTTTTTTTAAAATTGAAATGTTTTGGAGCATACTGAATTCCCACTAAGTTTACCTCAGCTATAATTTGAATATTTAAGTAGTAATTTTAGTATATGCTGTTGGTAAATTTCAGTCATTGTATGAAATTCACACATCATCATGAAATTGTGTTTCATCAAGTGTGGGCTTTTAGATTTCCATACTTTACTTCCCGAAATGTTTATATCGAGTTTATAGACTCATGTTTGCTGTTTTATGTCCACAATGAAAGTAGCGGTCAGTTTCATCATTACATATACATGTACTCTTATCGGGGAAACAAAGGTCAAATACCGTACGTGTACTGATAGGCCGAATCGACAAGATGGACACCACCAGCCGGCATCGTCTAGTAATGGGAATAATATTCCAAGAAATGTTATGGTGATGAGAACGCCTTTATTTCCAAAATAATACCTATTGTGGTACTTGCCTCTTGGAATGCGATACCACAAGTAATAGACGTCCCTGTCTGCGAGGAAATGACCACAAGATCGACCACCATATATAGTATCACAATCAATGTGTGACGTCACACGGTCCTTGATCTAGCAATGCCCCGATAACAGTGCTCGTTGTGGCGACATGGCCGTCCCCCGTGGTTAGCCCATATAAATGTAATTCTTGATTCCGTTATGGGATCTGCCACCAAACGAAGTAGCGTTCGATTCCACATTTCTCGGTGTCCCTAGGGACCATTTATCATAGGCAATTGGTGTAACTTTCTTAAGCAGATGTATTTCCGGAACCATCGTGACCTACGTGACATGCTTTTCTCCAGCGATCAAGTCTGAAAAGTGTGAGGGCCATTTTTTGTGGGATGAATGGGATGGGGTTGATCTTCGAATTACACCTCAAAAGCTTATTCAAAATGATTTAAATCGCAATACAGGCATGCCAAACACCCACGCTCAAACGCTCAATCGAAAGCATGTATTTGGGGCTTCAAATTGGATATTTAACAAAAAGCAGAGAAGATTTTACGAAAGACGCAAAAGTGAAAAGCACTTTTAAATACAAGTTTATAATTAGAAACTGTAGAACCATTAACTTTAACTACATCATAAAGCTAGTTCGTCCTTCTAGGATTCGTAATGGATGCTAAGGGCCTCAGTTTTAGATCCTAATAGACGGCTGATGCTGATATTAAGTGATAGGAAGAAATCAAAATCTAGATGGTGAGGTATACTAACCCCATACATCAATAAATTTCATAGTTTTTATACATTTGTATGTCTAATGATTTTAGAAGAAAGCCATGTGCGTATATATATTCTGAACCATTCTACCATTCAAAGGATTTAAAACGCGGCATGCAGGTCAGCGACAAACCTCAGGACTAAGTTCATCAGTGTCGTTTACCACTTGCAATCACGAAGATTGAACAGAAGACAAAAAAAAATTTAAGTTAGTTACTGTAGAACAAAACAGTGAATTAAACTGCATCACACATTTGTTTCGTCCTTCTAGAACTCGTCAGTGATGCTAAGGGCCTTAACTTTGAAGCCTAGAAGGTGGCTAAGGAAATTACAAAAAGATAGAAAGAAAGGTATTAAATCTACATGCCAAGTCTAATATGGAAGTCTGAAAAGATTTTTAAAATCTATTTCCACGTCGCTCGCGATTTTCAAAGAAAACAAATTACACACTATGAATCCTCAAAGCGTATTCTTGGCAATTCTTTTTCTCGTTTTTTTTTCACACTCTGAACGAATTTCGAAGAATATCGGTCAATTATTATAATGAGTTGAATTTTTAAGTTCTGAAAATAAAACGAACGTAACTATCAGAAAAAATATACGGGAAAATAGCTTTTACTGGGAATTTGGTTTGAAGACATTGAACAAAAAAGTGTTTAAAAAATATCTGCGTAATTATCAGAACAAAATTTGATAAATGGTAATACAATTCGGAGCGGGCAAAACATTCGATACGTAGAGAACTTCGAATCATCGAAATTGGATTCCTGGGAGTTTAACTGCATTTTTCTTTATCTAATTCAGTAAGCAATCCTTTCACTAGATCTACCTTTAACATTTTAAGTTCCATAAAAATCTTCTATACATTATGAACGCGCTCATTGTTAATAAATATTAATTGTTACTATGACATCGTTATGTAATGTGTAACCAGTGTTACTTTTAATGGAAAGAATGCATAAAAGAATTGTTGCATTTTATAAATCCGAACGCATATTCATGTAAAAAAAAGTCGGATTGAGAAATATTACTTTATCTGTATCGATACGGAAATCTTGTCGTAAACATCACTCATTTCCATGTATTACAACAAAATTCCTACTAAGCGACAGTCTAGCCATAGTCGTGTCCTTGAACACAATTTTTGCCTATATTTTATTTTATTCCTCTCAGGCGTTAGTGAAATAATGCAGCGATTTTCCAGTTGCTTCGCAACGACACTTATCGTAAAGATTTAATGAGATTTTGAAGAACACGACAAGGTTTTTAAAAAAATACGTATTTCACGTAAGATGGATTTATTTCGTATCTCCATTGATTATCGTTGGAATTTCATC